TGTTTTGTAAAAAAAATTTTATAAATAGCGAGTATCATATAAAAAAATGGTAAAATCTATATTACCTTAAAAGCATGAACTCCTAACTTAAATGTTAAATTATTATAATATCTCTAACTTAGATTGTGACTTTTCCGATAAGTTGTGACTTTTTTCAAAGGGTTGTCATTTTTCGATGAGTTGTGATTATTTTAAAGGGCTGTGATTTTCGATAAGTTGTGACTTTTCCAAAGAGTTGTGACTTTTCCAAAGGGTTGTGACTTCTCGGTATAGTCATGACTTTTCAAATAAGACACAAAAAATATTTGTTCATACCACCCTTTGTTGACTATAAATAGAGGGGCTTCCTCTCAATTTTCCACCACAATTTTTTTTAATTTTCTATTCTTCTTCTTCTTGCATTTTGTGTGATTTATTATCATTGAGTGAGTTCGAAGTTTAGCGGAATATGAGGTACACTATTTTGATTAAGTAAGTCGTTCTATCCTAAGAGGGTATATTCCATAACTTCGAGTATTTGAGGAAAATAATTTTGATGATATAATAATTATTTTTTCGCTTAATATATACATTAGTATGTAATGTTCCAATATACGAAGTTAACATGATGTAGTCTAAATTCATTTGTTGTTTTTTTTAACAATTTCTCTTGTGATGTAGATATATGCTTCTGAATATCTTTTCCAAAATTTAGAGAATTGTCACGATTTGTTTTTGATGCTCAAGACAAAAGAATGACTTTATTTATCAATAATGTTACTTATGTGATTTAGACTCTCAAGAAGTTTGCTTCAAAATAGTTATTACAATATAAACATTGCCCTTTTATTTTACTTATTTACTATTTCTTAATATTTTAGTATTTTGGACGAAAAAAAGTTCATGTGACTTGTAATAACGTCAATTGAAGTTTGTATTAGTTTAATTTTTATTATTTATTTAATAGCTAATTTTATGAGATAAATATTTTTATTAATGCAAATATATATTTATATTTGGGTAGGTATTTGTATTTAAATTAAAGTATTATATATGTCACAAATGTATTATCAAGTTAACAATATCTTCTAACTTCAAAATATATTATTTTAAATGTTCCGAGTTCATTTTTTTTGTTTAAAAAATCTCACAACAAAAGTGAAAATATGTGAATATATAAAATGTAGTAGTTATTTTCACGTGTTCATATACATCTAAGCAATTTAACGTGGAATACACATGCAAAACACATATGGTTAGATGACAAGAAAAATACAAAACAAATAATGTCTATAAGATAATATTAGTAAGATAAGACTAACTACATGATTGAACATCATTAAATTGAAATAAATATGTACATTATTGCATTTAACTAATAAAATTTTTCATTGACCATCTTCATAGGTTTGCATGAATAAGATATATATATATGACGATCTATATTGAACATTCACAAAAGAATCTGCAATATTATTTTTTGTTAAGTTTATTATTCAATTTTTTGCTTAAATAAGTAATACTATTTACTATAACATATATTTTTGAAATTGGTAATCACGTGCAACACACATGTCAAAAAACTAATATATATTAAATACATAATCTATAAATTGCTATATAGAAAAAATAATTTCGATAGCTACCATATTACACATCCCTACCGATCGAGGGAGTAATAATCATGACAAAGGGTCTACTCATACTATTAATAATACCAATTCAATCACTTGAAACACATTAAATGGCTGATTAAAAAAAGTCAAATTAAAGGACCTACTAATGCTTAATCCTCCTAAAATTCATACTACATCATTTTGGGCCATGCAAATAAGTGGAGTATAGTTTAATTATAGGAAACACGTCATTTAGAAAAAATAATTAATTTCAAGAACAACTGTGCGTTGTTTGTTTAAGCTTAATTTTTTTTTTGTTTCCCATTTATGTAGCAAAACTAAATTATGTCTGCTCGCCGTCAAGATTTTTAAGGCGGTAAATTTCTTTAATCTCGTTCTATACTTATATTCAGATAAGTACACTCATTATTTTTTTTAAAAGTGAGATTTGCATTAAATATTGTTACTTTTTTATGAAAAAATTACTGTTATTTGAGAAATAGTGTATAATATATTGGGAAGATCATGTAAATCGCTAATGAAAATAAATATCAATCCACTTTTATTGAATATAATATTTGTTAGATTGTATAAGAAAATTGAAAAGTACTCATAACTTTAGTGGACCAAATAAATTATAAATTTATATGTGGAGAAAATATAATGACTAACTAAAGGGAATCTAAAACTGTTGAATGGATAGGCAAAGAAAAGTTAGCACTAGGAGCCTAATTTAGTCAAACGGCTGCCAATAACGTTTTAATTAAACAATGCACACCAAATTGAAAAATTATTAACGATCCATTAGGGTCTTCTTTTATATTTTGGAATTCGTTATTTTAGTTTAATTATATATAAAATAAAGTAATTTTTTTAAATATGAAATTACCCTTTTCTGTTTAAATAATAAGTGGGTATGAAAAAAAAAGATCCAAAGCATTATAAAATTAATATGAAAACTTATTAAACCGACGAAAAGTATTTGCCATTATTTAAGGGTATCTTAATTTTGATCCACAAGTCTATATATTAGTAGCTATTATGGACCCTACCTCTCTTAGCCCCCGACGTCGGCAATTGCCGCCGGCAAATAAAACCAAGTCGGGTTTAATGGTCGGAAAAGTTATTCATACTAAAAATAATTACATTTCATCCAATCTATTATGCTCCTCATGTTTTTTACTTCTTAAAAAAGTATTAACTAAAAAAATGACTAAATTATGGAAAAATTACCCCATATACACATTTAAGAGTCAATATTACAGGTTTTAAATCTACTTTTTAATTTTTTTTGCTTATAACAGTTTAATTACGGGTTATAACATATCACTAATTATTTATAAATTAATTAAATTTTACTTTATTAAATAAGTAATTTTTTATTCATATTTGTTTTTTTATCTCAAATTATCAAGTACTACTTTCTTTTCTACTATATTAATCTCTCGTTACTAAAGCTAAAAGTAAAAATTAATAATTAATTATTGTTTGCAACAAATTTCAAAGTGACAGAATATAAATTGCAATAACAAAAACTAATGAAGAAACATAATTTTATTCAGGTACAATTACGTTCCTCCATTGATTCTACTCTCCTGAGATTTATCGATGATTCAAGGGCCGTTTGTGACGTATTTCTCGAACTAGGATGATTTAGATTTGACCTCTAATGAATATTTCATGCCTTTTGTGGAATATTCGATATACCTTTTAACGGAATTTAGTACCCTTTAAATATGCATGAACTAGGGTTTAGGGTTAAGTAGCTTTCAAAAATTATAATTGAAACTGAACACACTGTCTAGAGTCTCAATTCGAATTGAACACGCCTTGTAGAGTCACGCAAAATTTCAATGTCTATAATTATATTTTAACTTTTTAAATATCAGTTATTTTTAATAAGCGCGATGATCAAAATGAATTGGAGGGAGTATATGGCTTATGGCTATCTTGGAATGTTACTATGATAACAGACGCACTATAAATGTCACAATTATTTACTTTTTGCTGTTTGTTTGTTTGTTTTGTGCTTTGTAGTGACTTAAACAAGGTCCATCAAAGAGTTCATCTGGTGCACAAGCAAATAGAACAAATGATAATAATCATTTCTATATATGACTAAACTAACGTCTATTATTGAAAAAGTGAAAATAATTTCTATATGACTACTACGTCTAATATTTGTCGGTTGTGATAAAATAAATTAGGACTAAGCTTTTTAATATATATAAGTGAGATCCATAAAAAAAATATTGTAAAAGTGTTATGATCCTAAAGTTTGAATTTAACAATTTGACATTTGTTTCTAAAAATGTCCAACAATCCTTCTAAATTATTTAACAAAAATGTCTTGGATGAGACTATATGTACTATTTTTTTAACTCATTATAAAGAATCTTACAAAAAAAAATTCAAAAGAATCGATCAAAATCATTTTTTAATCTTTTTTCATTAAGAAAACGGGCATGTAAATAAATATGACAGTAAAAAATTGATAAATAAAAGTTCAAATTCAAACATATACAGCATATTTTAATTTAAAATGGGAGCGTGGACAACTTCCTTTTTTTTTTTTTTGGTCATATGTGATGCAAAAATGAACGGTAACAATAAAATTTCTCTGCCCAAATTATTGCAAGGAAGAAAAAAAAAAGTGGAGCCGTATAAGTAATTTTTTCCTTCGTATGGATAAGATTAAGGGCTTAATTGGATGAGCTTAGAACTTTTTCTCAACTTAGGAATTCCAATTTACTTTATTTTTTGGATTAAAATAAATATCTAAAAATATTTTATATATATATTTTTTTAATTTTAAAATACTTAAAATAAATCAATCCACGGTTATCAGAAGTTGTCAAAAGCTCTCTCCTAATAACCGAACATATGGTATAAGGAATACCAAAGACCAAACAACTACCAAAAGCCGTTGAAAACAAAAAAAAACAAAAAAAACCACTCAGTCCCCACAGCCACAAGTAGGGTGCAAATTCTTTTTTATGTTTCTCATCCGATATTCAATATTCATTGAAAAAATTAATATATCGATAACTAAATAAACTTTTAATTTTAAAGTGTTTGGTTGCTTAATTTAAATACAATGAATTACTTTATAATAACTATTTACATATTTTTGATCTTTTTATTAAATCAATAAATACATGACACACGTATTAGTATGATTAAAAACAATTACTATTTCATATAATTTACCTAATATGGTGGGTTCTTATAACTGTTGCTTAACGCCACGGCACCCCCTTTACTTGCTTTAAAAATCTCAACCTTACGTTTCTTTTTTTCTCTTTTCTTTCTCAAAACTAAAATAAAATATGTTTACTGCAACTACCTTACATCTATATTACATTAACTAAATTGTCTCTTTCCTTTAAACCATTTTCTATATGCTCTCTTCCTCTGAGCTTTGAATAAGCTCAGCTCAGATATTTATTTTTCTCTTCTCCATTTAATACAATAACTCTGTAGTGCTCTCAATAATTCACTCCCAACAAATTATGGACTCGGAGGGCGAGAATTCTGTGTACTTGAACAGTCTGGTCAGTGCCGCCGACAGCTTTTCCGACGGAGATATTCGGCGAACGGCGACGTCCTCCGCAGTCCAACAAACCCTTTTTCTTATTCATTCTGATGACCCCACTTTGAAAGTACAGGCGGCAAAGGAGATCCGCCGTTTAACTAAGACTTCTCAACGTTACCGCCGTCATTTTTCTAACGCCGTTAAACCTCTCGTTGATATGCTTCGTTCGGAATCTTTTGAATCTAATGAAGCTGCTCTTCTTGCACTCCTTAATCTCGCTGTAAAAGACGAAGGGTATGTTTAATTTTGTTGGCTTGATTCTGATTCCAATTTTGGGTTTGTGAGTTTTTTTATTTTTTCAGTTTTCCGTCACTTTCTTGCTTTTGGTTTCTACTTGTACATCCTTTTCCTCGGAATCAGTGTGTTAGTGAGGGAAGTTGATACTTTTCTTGTGTTTTGCCTTTTTCGTTAAGTTTACTGTGTTCTTTTTCCCTTCTCTGTTTGGTTTGGTTTGGTTGCTGGGAAAAGTAAGAGATGGTCCTATTTTTTAATTTCAGATTGTGGAAATATGTGTGACGTTAGAATTGATCTTTAAAGAAATTCCACTTTCAGTGATTAAGATTGAAATTTGTTCTTCTTTTAAGTGCTTGTTTTCTTGTGGGGGCTTCATTGAGATTCCCCTTTGTTTTGTTTTTGTTATGGAATGAGGATCAAACTGAAATCCGATTCTTGAAGCATCAAAATGCGCAAGGATAAGAATTGCCTGAACAGAGTAGTTTCAACTTTTGATTGGTTCATTAAAAGATTATACTACTGTTATTTGAAGATTTATTAAAGTTAGTAAAAGTTAAGAGGCATATCTATTCAAAATGCTTTTCGATCGATCCCTTGACACGGGATGCTTTAAGTATCAGCTTGCTTAAATTTGCAGGTGGGGCTGTTCTTTTATCCACATGCTGCTTTCTTTTAAATTCTTTACCTCATCTGCTTGTCTCACTTTTACCTTTCTTTTTATCTTGTTTATGAAGCCATCACATGGATTGGATTCCTTTCTCTGATATAGAAATTCTACTCTTGATTAAAATATTCAATTGTACGAGGGTTGTTGATATTTTAATAGCAATATTAGTTTTGTAGATCACTCAAAGGGATTACTCTTTCCATAATCCTGTATGGGGAATATCAAATTTTAATTTTAAAATGGAATGACCCTTGTATATTAGACTTACTACTTTGGTATGCTGTAAACTATGTTAGATTTCGGTGATTGCTTTGTACTGTTTATCGCTCTTACTCGTATTTGTTCATTGTTCCAATTCTTGCGATGAATATACCCTATTTTGACATTTCAATTCTTAGTCATGACCATGTTTAAGATTCTCTCCTTTTTGTGTGTCAAGATAAAATTTCAAGTCCTTTCCTCCTTTACATTGCTTCCCACTCTGTATCTCCAATTCTAACTGTGCACTCCTTCTAGCTTCCATTAATTCCTTATGAGCAGACTTGTGTGACAGAATCCGTAGACCGTCCTAGTTATTAAGGACTTCTATACATCGAAGCTAAAGTCTGATTACTGTTTTTCATAATTTGGCTACTCTAATCCATTATAGTATCATTTTAATTTGAAAAGAACTGCATTTTTATATAAAGAGGAAATCAGTTGGAAAAAACTATATAAACCTAATGAAATGAGAGCCAGATGTCTTCGTTTATGTTACTGCTGGACTGCTTGTTTTTCATCAGATAGGAAAGTATAGTTACCATTTCTGCGATCTAAGCTAACAAAATATCGAAATGTGAATTTGCCAACTTCAAACAGTATTGTAGTGTAAGTATTTATCTTTGGAGCTTCAAACTTAGTTGTTTGACTATTTCATTTCATTTTTCACCTACAGAAACAAGATAAATATCATAGATGCTGGTGCTCTAGAACCCATCATTAGCTTTCTTCAATCAGAGAATGCAATTCTCCAGGATCATGCTACTGCCGCTTTGCTCACATTATCTGCTTCTCCTGCCACTAAACCCATAATTAGTGCTTCTGGTGTTTTCTCTCTGCTAGTGGAAATCATTAGGCACGGTAGTTCACAAGCCAAGGCCGATGCCGTGATGGCTCTTTCCAACCTGTCAACTTATCAAGACAATCTACTATTGATTCTGCGGGCACAACCAATTCCTTCTACTGTTTCTCTGCTTAAATCCTGTAAAAAGTCTTCAAAAACTACTGAAAGATGCACTGCTCTTATAGAATCTTTGATGTGTTATGAAGAGGGTAGGAATTCATTGATATCTGAAGATGGGGGAGTACTTGCAGTGGTAGAAGTGCTTGAAAGTGGATCTGCTCAAAGCCGAGAACATGCTGTAGGAGCTCTCCTGACGATGTGTCAGAGTGACCGCGCTAAATACCGAGAACCAATTCTCAGAGAAGGTGTGATTCCTGGGCTCCTTGAGCTGACTGTTCAAGGAACAGTCAAGTCTCGGACTAAAGCACAAACACTTTTGAGGTTGCTGAGAGACACTCCTTACCCGAGGTCTGAGCTTGAGCCTGACACATTAGAGAACATTGTGTCCAATCTCATTTCTCAGATAGATTGTGAGGAGCAATCAGGAAAAGCAAAGGAGATGCTCGCTGAGATGGTACAAGTTAGCATGGAACAAAGCTTGAGACATTTACAACAAAGGGCGCTGGTATGCACTCCAGCCGATCTGTCTGTTCCTAGTTGTGTCTCCAAAATTACTTCGAAATGATAGATTTTTCCCTTTGTTTGTTTACTTCCTGTATCCCTTTTCCTTTTGAAACAGGGGCTTGTGTGAGATTGGTTCTCTGTTCTTGGAAAAGCTGGATAGATACTGAAAATTGGCAGTCCGGGCTATTAGATAGGTGCCAGGTGACTGTTTAGTGGTTAATAATTCGGAAAATTATATAAGGTCTTAGAAGTATAGTTTATGATCTTGCCCTTTGTAACATAAATTACAGCCACGCAGTTTATAAAGCTAGTTGAAATTTCCTTCTTGAACCATGGTTTTCGTGATTGTAATTATGCGTTAGAGCGATATGCTTGAAACCACAATTCTGTACAGGAAGTTTACTTTTCTATATAACGTGATTTTAGATGTTGTCTTAGCTATTTTCAGATTTTTAGACTTTGATGTGATTCTTGTTTAGTTTATTTTAGAGTAACTATATTTGAGCATGCATATCTAAGGAACACAGGGCTCTGTGACATCCAATCTTACACATTGATGATCAAATTGTTTGTAATTCAAATATCTATTGCTTTCTTGATTTCAACCTCCTGTGTTAGCTTTAATTAGATGGTGACAGTTTATATTAAGTATATTATAAATGAAGCTTGTTTGGCTTTGTGTCAATATCTGCTTGGAGTTTATAAACATTTTACAGGTGTTACTTCTTTACTAACAAGTAAGTTTTGATGAGTATTAGACAACTAAATTCTACCAAACACTAACTTTGTTACCTACTTTGTGTAGTGGGGAATGAGGTAGTTCGCTGGGACTTTGATGGAACCACAGTCCAAAAGTTCAAGTGTTTTTTTTTTTAAACATAGCCTGTCTGCAATATTTATGAAATTTTAGCGGTTAATTTCATTTTTATTTTTTTTGGCTAGCATTTGTCTGTTTGCAAGTTTCATAACAAGACATATAATATGCTATGAGTGACTTGAAACGTGTCAAAGAATGAGAGAGAGATAACAAATATGTTTGCTTCATTTGCCTCAAAATCCAATTAGCAAACAAATTAAAATTGCTCACACACTCGTGTACATCAGAAAAAAATATTTCTTTTTTGCCGTTTCTTTCACAAAAAATAATCAGAGTCATACAAGCAAACATTGAGCCGTTGAGAGCTCAAAAACTATCGTCAACAGTGGATGTTGACAAAATATTTAGAACCAAGAAAATCATAATTCTTATGTATATGGAAGAGGCATCTTATTATTTTAATTTAGAAATTAGAGAAGCCTTGGGGACTTCTCCAAACTTGTGCCTTTTTATGAGGAAAGGGAAATGTTGACTTTGAGAAATTATGCATAAAATTGTCTATTGCTTGGATACGTGAACTTTTACTTAATTGGTAAGGATTTGATTTCCCACCAAACAATTCGAGTTAATATCTCATATGATTACTCAACTTTAAATTGTTCACTTAAAAAATCATTTAACTTAATTAGATTAGTCCCATATAAAATCACTAAATTTCATTTTATAATTAAAAAATAATTCAAACTCAAAAAGTAATTCATTTACTATGTTACAGATTTAATTGGTGGAGTGGGATAGGTCAATAAAATAAAAACCTAAAAAAGGCGATTAGCCAGCCACGTGAAGGTGATATCTTTCTAGTTTCAACCTTTATTTAAGGCATCCTAAACGATCAATTCTGCCATAAAGGAGACTGGACCAAATTATATTAAATTACCATCAATAAGCGATTAAATATATTGACAACGTATATTGTATCATTAATTAACGTGATAAAAGTTTATATATAGATATACAAATCATCCCCATTAATTAGTTTTGAGAAGGTAAATAATATATCTCTTCCTTATTATATATCTTAAAACGTGAATAAGAAAAAGTAAATGAACTAATTTGAGATATTCACGGAAAATGAGATAAATACTGATTCAAACTTTCTTCGCATACGTACGATCGATCCTAATAAACCGTAAGAATACAAGTATATCTTTTTACTCTTTCCATCATTTTTTATTAAGGTTTGCAAAAGAGAATCGACTTGAGTGGAGGAGGACTCTTAATAGATAGATAAATAGTGTTGGATGGAGTTTCAATATTAATCTATAGTAAAACTCCAATCCCCTATTATATCTAATTAATTAGTACAATTTTCTTAATAAACTCCAGCCTCCAACACGCTTCAATAATTAATACTCTATCAATTATATACCATAATCATTATCAACTTAGCAGCAAACCACACAAAAACAAAGTCTCTAATCCTATCCTATATAATAATAATAATAATAATAACTATCTTATTCCCTTTTTAATTAAATTGAAAAAACAACAATGGTGTCAAATAAAGAAGATCAAATCACTCAGACTATGGAAGAAGGTAATGTCCAAGTAGCCTCCAATAACAAGGTTGGATTTTGTTCATCGCCTGCCGTCGTTGTCCTCGGTCAAAAGGTACTTAAATAATTTGTAATGCTATGATTGACCCAGTATCGAGTAATTTTATTAATCGTAGATTTGTTTGATGAATTGGATCTGAGCTATTTTTGCAGTTGATTGCGGAGGTCATAGGGACATATTTTGTTATATTTGCGGGGTGTGGTTCAGTTGTAGTCAACAAGCTTTATGGTGGGACCGTTACGTTTCCAGGGATATGTGTAACATGGGGACTTATTGTTATGGTCATGGCTTACACTGTTGGACACATATCAGGAGCACATTTTAATCCAGCTGTCACTATTACTTTCAGCGTCTTCGGTCGCTTCCCTTGGAAAGAAGTATGTAACTTAAATTTAATTTTGTGCATCGACAGTATATAATAATCGAACTAATTGTTATTAATGCTAAAATATTATAAATTGAACGTGTTGCAGGTACCTTTGTACATAATAGCTCAATTAATGGGTTCGACTTTGGCTAGTGGAACTCTGTCTCTAATGTTTGATGTAACTCCTCAAGCTTATTTTGGTACAGTTCCAACTGGATCTAATGTCCAATCACTTGTTGCCGAGATCATCATTTCTTTCCTTCTCATGTTTGTCATTTCTGGTGTTGGTACAGATGAACGAGCGGTATGCTATAGATTACGTGTGAAATCAATCATTAATACTTACATCAGAGTTAACTGCATTGATTATTTAATTATACTTTGTGTTACTCTTGCAGATTGGACATGTATCTGGGATAGCTGTGGGAATGACCATAACCTTGAACGTTTTTGTAGCAGGGTATGCTAATTATTAACTGTTTTACTTAATTAAAAAAAAATCATATTAACCTTTTTTTTTGGCAAAAACCTAATCAAAATAAGAATGCAGGCCAATTTCAGGAGCATCAATGAATCCAGCAAGAAGCATTGGTCCAGCACTAGTGAGACATGTTTACAAAGGTCTTTGGGTATATATTGTTGGTCCAATCGTCGGAACCCTAGCCGGAGCGTTCGTGTACAATTTGATTCGATCAACGGACAAACCACTCAATGAGCTCACCAAAAGTGTATCGTCCCTTCGAAGCTAAGAGCAAATCAAATATATTTAGCATACTTTTGAGCGTCCCACTTATATTAGATATATTTCATCGATTACTAGGCCACCAACAATACAGTAATTTTCACATTTTTGAGATATTTTTGCTGCAACTTCTTTGTAGTTGCACCCCAAATTTCTTTTTTGATCTCATATATATTACAATTCTTTCATAAGTAAATCAGTGATCTGATATCCTAGATCTGCTAGGGTTGGAGACGGTTGAAAAACAGATGTAGATGTTTGTTTTTTAATTATCGTAGAAGAATAAATGTAGGTATATTTCATTTCCAATTTATTAATGTTTCAACTTGGAAATGGTTCTTTAATCTTATATTATATGTTCTCTTAATTCTCTCTTAAAATATTCTGTTGTGACTTTGTGTAATGCTATTGATCATTCCGAGTTGTCAAAAAGGGTTGGACCAAGCCTCGCGAGCAAAGAAATTTGACGGGCTAGGGCGGGCCGACCCTTCATTTGGAAGGGCCTGAAAATGCTCAATCCAACCCAACCCTAGAAAGACTGAGGGTTGGGGCGGGCTAGGCCTTTTTTTTTTTCTTTTCAAACTTCAATTCTATATATTAGGAAAGTGAGAAGATTTTCAAATCATCAAGCAGTTCAGTTCGACTATACCCGCCTTAATTCCCTCATTCAGGACAAATGGAAGCAGGTTATGGATCTATTTAATTAGTTGGTCGAAAACTTCTGGATAGGTATCCTCCATCTGAACCAAATTCTTTCTGGTTCTTTCTAGTAGCTCTGGAACAATTAAGAGATTCTATACGGGTTTTGCTTATGGCGGCAACATGCTTGGCCCCGCTTATGGGGTCAAATCAATACGTTTTGATTGAGACAAAATGATTCCCTCAATACAACTTTATTCCGTCAAGCCTGTATGAGTAGTGGAGAAGTATAGATCTAGTTGGTTGTTGACCGACGAAAAGCATGAGAGAAAGATGCACAAACAAAAAAGGGCTAAAAAAACGTTGGAATTTCATATATAAAAAGAGCGGTACACTGAACACGAACCCACTATCAAACAACGTGGCAAACAATGGTGTTGTTTTAACACTAACAAAAAATCTAGTGTGATTAGCATGCATATAGGATACTAGATACGTGAGATACATGTATCTAGTATGATGCATCCCAGATACGCGAGCGAGATAATAGAGTGAGCAAGATGGGAGGGTGGCTCGTGTGATGCATCGAGGGCGCAAGGTTTGTCTATATATCCTAGATACATGCGAATCCACTTGAATATAGTGTATGTAGAACAAATTTGATAAGATTCATAATTATCACAACATAACATGCATTTAAGTAATTACCTTACCCATGTTGTATTTTCATGTGTTTTAAACCCTTCTCGCCCCTCATAAATTTGCTTTGACTCGCCAATATAATTTGCTTCACTTCTGAAATAAAGTTAGGGACAATTTTGTTTTAAGTTTTTTGAGTTAAAAGAAACAAAGCAAGAAAGAAAGGTAAAATAACTTTCACGAGAAAACATCTTTGAATGATATTACTATATAAGAATTACTATAAGTATTCACCACAAGTCAACATGTGTTTCAATAAGAAGAGGGAATCACCAATATATTTATAAAAGAAATGACATATAAAATAAAATGGAGAGAGTATTAGTTTTTGAAAATGAAAAAGGACAAAACACATATAGAATTAGAAGACATATAAAAAAAAGTTGGTTTAACTCTCGAACATAAAAAATAAAATATGTTATCAAAAACTTTAATAAAAAGTACTATAATTTACAATAAATATAACTTAAAATATCTACAAGACAACAAAAAAAGACTAATTTTTGTACTGCTTGTGTCACATAAATTAGGATTGGG